GTAACCTTTTTTAAAAGCTTAATAATTGTTTCATGAAACTGAGCACTTCATTAAGACATTCATCAGAGCGCATTGCTCTCACTCTGTAGATGAAACACTTAATTCGATTGCATTTGTATTTTGAAAGTAAGGAGACCGAGAAATGAGTAAGTATACTAACCAGGTGAGGTAGATTTTCTACATAAAACTTCTTCTTATTGTACCGTACCCTTTTTCTCGTTATAAGGACGCTTGCATTACCTTGATCATCAAGGTTTTAACTAACCTTAATTTGTTGCATAAATTTCTTAAGTCTTTTTTATATGATATTCTATTTAGTATTACATTTTTTATGTTTAATAATAACAATTTAATTCACTAATGAGTGATATTTTAACTTCATCCTTAGATCACTTATATCTTATTCTATTTTTAGTTTTAAAAATTATATTTGTTTATATTAGTAAATATGTAAGAGGCATTGAATTTTGAACAGGACAACACATTCTAGTAAATACTGGTTGGGTGAGTGTGTGTGAGTGTAGAATAATTTGAATAAGTTATTTATCATATTTGTCAGTTAATATTTGAAATTTAAAAAAAAACGTTTGTTTTTGAAAATACTTGTTGTTTGGCACTGAAAATCTTTATTTCAGTTGTCTTGAAATTATTTCATACAAATGGTTATATTATCATTATTATTATTACTATTATTATTCGTCCTCTAGGTTCCGAGTGAAAGATAAGGCCTTCAGCAGCACAATTTTACAGTGCTCCGCTCTCTACCATCACTTTCAGCCGGCTTCGTAACCACTCATAGGCTTTAAGACCCTCTTCACATGATTTTCACTATATCACCCTCAGATACACGCCCAACTCGTCGTTTCTCTTTCGAGTTCCAGTCAACAGCGTGAACTATGATGTAACCCAGTGGCCTCTCAGCGTGTGCTGAATCCTTCTCCATTTTCTTCTACATATTTGCTAAGCAATAGGTTCTTGACTTGTTCCTTCCCAGAGTATTTTGATGACACTACTTTCTAGCCGGCCATATGATTTTTAATCCAGCTTACTCCGATCTTTTAATTGGACACTAGTTAGTAACTAGTGTGATGTATCTAGTCCTCTGTTTGCTGCAGGCTGAATTCTATCAGTCACGTTTGCAGTGTAACTACCATGCTAGGCAGTGATTCGCCATCACGGTGCACTCTGAATTGTTGCTATTAGGTGGTTGGAGACAATCACCAAGAAGCCATCCACCTAGATTTCGTGTTAGTTAGCACTCACCAGTCAGTAAGGCGTATCTGCCACCACCTTGAAGGAATTCATGTCCCTTGTAAGATTTGAACCTGGATCACTCAGTGCTACCAAAAGTCAGAGACGTTACCACTACTGAGGTATTCGGGCTGGTGACTGACCTCCTATGGGACTGTATTTTTTTATTTCCTTCATGTTCCCCAGTGGAACATAAGGCTTCAAGCTAGTGGCTTGAAGTTTCTGTAGACGTGTTTAATTTTTTTACAGGATGGAGTTGCTAGCCTCATGCCCAAGCTTTCCTCCTTGCCAGTTCTATTACTGGCTTAGCGAAGTAAAGGAGTGCGTCGGCCGGAGATCGAACCCCGAACCGTGTGCATGGTCGGCAAGTGTCCTAACCGCTATGCCACCGACACACATGGGACTGTATTGGACATTAGTTAATAACTAGTGTAGTGGGTCTAGGCTCCTATTTGGTGCAGATTGAATTCTATTAGTCACCAGTTTTACTAGTGATAATTAACCTCACAGTGTTTACTTGGCATTTAGTAAATTCTATTAAAATGCCAATTTGAAGTGGATTATCAGTCTTCCATTTAGCCATTTGCTTGTAACTAGTTCAATGAGAAAGTAAACACAAAACATGAGATGATGAATAAATTTGTCAAATAATCAAAGGTTATATCCCCTACTTTTACGAGCATCGTTCGTATTCAAGGAAACTTTCCAATAATAAACATATAGAGAGTAGGAAAAAGAAGAAGAAGAATTGTATCTGTAGCATAACAGTTGTTAATTTTTTTTATTGAATATTGGACACTAGCCATTAGGGATCATGTTTTTTATATCTAAATACTTAATTTATTTTACTGATAAATTTTGCACAGTGGACACTAATCAGTATGTCTGATACAATCTTCAATGAAGTCACTCATAACTTGATTAGATCAAAACACATAGATTAGCGAAGTCTCTTTTCGGCAAATTCATTTTCTTAGCCGTACAATCGCAAATATATGTGTTATTTGGTATGTATGTGTACAATAAGTTTGTTAAACAAAAATACAATTTAAAAATACAATCGGTTGTAGTTATTTTAACTAAAAAGGTGAAGATTGGTAGTTGAAGTTACTTAATACAAAATCAGTCAAGAAAATTAGGTGTTATTGAAATTAGGGTAGTAATAAAGGTGATGAGTTGTCACAAACAGTTGTTAAAAGAAGTTATGTAATAATATGAATAGTTTGATGAGTGAGTTCTTCTCAGGATGCACATAGAAACAAAGTAGAAAATACGAAATTACGTAAGAGTTCTAAATGAATACAAGAATCATAAGCAATTAAAGAACAGGCAAAGAAACAAAATTAAGTCATCAAAATCAAAAAAAGAAATCAAATCAAAACTGGTTGTGATAACTGATCACTTTTGTTACTACCCTAATTTCAATAACACCTAATTTTCTTGATTGATTTTGTATTACGAAACTTCAATTACCAATCTTCACCTTTTTAGTTAAAATAACTTTATTTTATTTTTTTTATTATTTTTATTTACAGCTTGATTCCACACCGTATTTTCAGTACAAGTATGGAATTTTCAGCATGGATATCGGTAGCCCAAATTCAGGCATACCATAGATATCGGGTGTGCGCCGGCAGGGGATCGAACCCCGGACCATGTGCATGGTCGGCGAGAGTCCTAACCACTGTGCCACCGACGCACTACAACCGATTGTATTTTTAAATTGTATTTTTGTTTAACAAACTTATTGTACACATACATACCAAATAACACATATATTTGCGATTGTACGGCTAAGAAAATGAATTCGCCAAAAAGAGACTCTTCGCTGATCTATGTGTTTTGTTTTCATTCATGCCTGGATGGGGATTATACATGAATTGATTAGATCACTCATCATCTGCTTGACTACAGTTGTATACAACTGATTGATTGATTGGTTGAGATGAGTAGGTCAAGACCCTATTAACATTAACAAGTAGTATTTGCCAGTCAGATCTATATGATCAAATCTGTTACCATGTCACCTAAGTAGCTACGGAGTATTAGGGTATTTCAAATTGATTCTGGCCTCTGAGCTGAGTCCAGCTAGGTACATCACTAGTGATATAGGCTACAAACAAGCCTGACAAGCCAAATGGTTGTCCAATATTTAGATCACTACTGGATAATATGATTGTTATGAAACTACTTATTTCAATAAATCAGTAGTATGTGGTATTATGTAACTATGGTTACTTTCTTGATTAGAATATATTCTGAACTGAATAATTTCGGTTTAAAATGAGAAATATGGTGATATTGCACCCCTTGAATAATGTACATCGAATTATACTTATGTTGGACTACAGCAATGAACACTGAGAGCTGATCCCACTGACAGGAACGATGTTTTGGATTCAAAAGAATCATATATATATAAATTTAGTTATGCAGCTGTGGTCTGTTTCTTTGGCACTTGACTTCCAACTAGTGGATCACAGGGTCGAATGCCACTCCACTGACCGAGATTTCGGCTGCGAGGTGGTAGTACTACTAGCCTTTGCCCACAATAGGAGGTGTGGCTCACTGTTAGCTGCATGGGATAGCAAGAGGTTGTTGAGTAACATTCCGTTTGAAGTTTTTCACAGATTTTTTAATGTCAGAAGTCAATTATGTGGTGAATGCTCTGTCTACATGCACAAATTAAGCTTTACGAGTGAGCTCGTTAAAAGGGTTATCAAAGTTGGAGGTAATGATTACAGAAGAGTTCTATTTATGAATTCTAAATGACTGCTTCAATACATTCTATAGTCAATTACGTAATCATGTATTTTTCAAGCTGAAAAGCAAATATCACAGAGGTCGTATAAATCTGACATTAGCATATAAGTTGCAGACTCATATACGCTTTCAAGTGACTTTTTAGTGAGTGTTTGAAATTCCACACTACCTAGAGCATTATGAATACATCGTAAATTATCCGTATATGACTGGACACTGTTTGTAGGAATCCAGTGGCATCTAGCTGCCAATAGCTCAGATATATTTAGATAATCAATTCAAATAGGAATATATATGTATACGTGTATGTATATTTTGATTGATTACTAGGTAACAACCAAAACCATGCGTCCGGTCCTTGAATTGATGCCTGCTGAACTCCAATAGTGAAGTTTGCAATATAATCACTGACCGCGTCACTGAGTGACGCAGGTTTGAATCCCAAGGTTGATATGAATCCCTTTAAGATTGTAAATACACTTTGCTGAATGATAAGTGCAAACAAGTGCGAAACCTATGTCCAGATCTTCGTATCGATAGCCTATAAATATCTAAACATAAAGATTTAGAACTCAAAGAGTGAACAACATTTATCGTATACTATTCAAGTATTGGTTTGAAGGGGTTTGATTGACTGGTTACAGGATTTCATCATGAGTTGACATTGGTTAGAGAACCATTGGAAAACCTGCAAGGGAGTACTGGACAGCTGTTTCGTCCTACTTTGGGACTCTTCATCAGTATGCCTTTACCGCCAAGGTTAGAACCCAGAACCTACTGGTTACAAGGTTAGCGAGCTCGTAGATAATTAAACCATTTGGACCCGATCCCATGGCCCATAAATTCTAACTTGTGCCAATTCACGATATATCGTATGCCCAATGTCATAACTATTAAGCTATAGCATTTAAATAATAGATACAGCCAAATTCAGTTAAAATTGTTAAATTATTTAACTGATATAAGCATATTTATTAATAACTCACCTTCATGATGTTCTTCTACAATGTAAACACGCAGATCTTTTGACCTGATTAAAGATGTCAACTCCATACCATCCAAGTGATTATCATCAATTTGAAGTATTTCTCTCCAACTGTTATAAACACTATACTCATATATCATCCATAATAAGATGAATGTATTGACAATAGCAAAAATGATGATTAATCTATGCACTGACATGTATCTTGTCAATCGAACTAAAAAGAGAATAAAAATTTATGAATAGATTAGTTAATGTTTACAATGATTGGATGGGGGATTTCATTATGAGCTGTCATCAGTTAGAGAATCATTGGAAAACCAGCTGAGAATACTGGACAGCTGTTCCGTCCTAGTTTGGGACTCTTCATCAGTATGCACCCACCGCTAGGGTTCGAACCCAGGACTTTCTGGTTACAAGGCTAGTGAGCTCGTAGACCATTAAGCCACTGGGACCCGATTCAATGGCTAGTCCATGAGTTCTAACTTCTGCCAATTCACTACATAGCGCGACCATTTCAAAATGTCTTCTTTGATGAGTTACTGCCTCACCTTCAACCCGCAGTATCCTAATGGTCGCGGCTTCCCACAAGAACCCCAGGTCACTGCCTGAATAGGGTCAATCACTAGCAAACATCAGATTAATTTTCAAGTATCTGTCTTGTAGGGATTTTGTTCGATTGCAGTGGCTCAATGGTCTACGAGCTCGCTAGTGTTGTAACCAGAAGGTACTCGGTTCGAACCATAGCGGTGGGTGCGTACCGCTGAAGAGTCCCAAATTGAGACGGAACAGCTGCCAAGTACTCCCAGCTGGTTTTCTAATGGTTCTCTTACTGATGTCAGCTCATGATTAAATCCCCCATCCAATCAAACTGAATCCCTACAAAACCAATACTTGAAAATTTACAATTACTGATTACTGGAAGGTAACCCAATATCCTATGTCTACTCCTTATTCTTGATGCGGACTGAATCTGGTACTCGGCCAAGTTAAACTTTAAGCACCACTAACTACCAATCAGTGAATGATCTCGAATGGACCAATGAGGATCATGCACGTGAGTTCAAGGTTGTATTCCGCTTGATTTGTATCAGACGGCTGCTCTTACTAAGTTACGCTTGCAGTTCGGTGGGGATAAAGTTGTTTTTTTTTAAACTTTAGCAGGTTGATTGATGGATATGTCCATCGTTGTGCAATTTGTTTGAGACGAGCTAGTATTAGAGATGGTAAGCTGATAATTTTAATATTTCGTAGGTACATTTTTGATAGGTCGCATCTCTCCCTGACCCAGATTTTGTATATTTGAAATTACTGGGTTTTACAACAGCCTGTAAGAGGCGCAGTTGCTGAAACTGAAAACAGCCTCGTGTCAACAGTTCAATGGTACCAGCACTGCAGAGAGATCGCCTGATGGAAAACGGAGAAAATTACTTCGTTATTAGAAGGAGATGTCGTCGTACATGTGGACGAAACTGTCTTATTGAAGAAAAATTACAACTGTGGTAGTGAGCGAGCCAACAATGTTCGGGTTGCCGATTTTTATGACATCTCCCTGCGGAAAGGATTCATGGAGAGAATACCAAACAGAAAGTCTACTACCTTAGTGCCTATTGTCACTCGACTGGTGAAACTTTGCCTAATAGGCAACTTCTAGATTTATTTCTTCTTGTTCTTTCATTTCAGACTCTTAACTTGAAAATATATTTTATAAATATTCTGAATCTTGTACTCTCAAGAACATTATTTCTACTTCCAAGCGATTGTAGCTTTAATGTTAATCACATCTGAGAGAGGGGAGTGAGGAAACAGGAGTACCTTGGACCAAGAAGAAGACTGTAGAAGATCTGGATTTCGCTCATGGATAATATATTTTTAATGTCATACAAGCTCGAAGACTTGCAGACGAATACCGACAAACTCGCTGAAAATTCAGATAGCGAAGATAGGACTCCAGGTGAATGTAGAGAAGACGGAGGTGATGAAGGTAACCATCCAACAAAAAGAGCAACAACAACAACCAGCATCAATCACCATCAACGGGAGAGATTCAACAGTGGTCACTTCATTCACCTATCCGGCTAGGAAGCACGGTTTCAACCACAAGCAGTCAGAACGGATGAAGATGTCACAGTCAGCCAGTCAAAATCTGAAACGCAAGCAACACACGCCTTCGTCAACCTCAATCCAGTTTGGAAATCTCTGCTGTCACTCATCAACACAAACAACAAGATTCGTTCGAATTCTGTTCAACACAAATTTGAAGTCAGTCAATCAGTCGCTTCTTGAATATGGGTCAGAAACTTGCACTGCGTGTCAGTCACGAAAAGGATTTCCAACATGCAATTGCAGAATTGTATCAACAGCTGCCTCCTTCGCTGCCTGACTTCAAACTGAAGATTAAATGACCAGCCGGTCGGCGAGAAAGAATTACAGCAATAAACTGTGGGGGATGACGAATCAACAAGCGAGAGCCGATTGTTCAATATATGTGTAGGAGAAAATGGTGATGGATAGGGCATACGTTGAGGAGCTTGTCCAATGAAATGGCGCGCAGCGGAAGCCATCGATTGAGTGGAACCCGAATTGAAAGCGACGAGTGTGTCATCGGTGTAACTGTGACATGGAGGAGATCGTGTGGTTAGCCAGCTGAAGAGGACAGTAGAGAAGAGAATAAAGTGGAGATGTGTTGCTGAAGCCCTATGTTCCACTCGGAACCCAAGGGAATAATGGATAATAAAAATAAATAATATCTCAGCGATTCTCGACAGTTTTTCCAGATTATGTAATATATTATTTTTCCTGACGTACATTTCCAGATGCTCTGTTCCAAACTGATATTAACGGGCAACCTTTATATGTATTTCCCTCACCTTTTGAAACGCTGTATACATCTTTACAGATTTGAAGTAAATTTAGAAAAAGCGTATTCTTTACTGACATATGTCTTTTTAAAAATGAGTTTATGCCATACTACTGCAGTGTTTTGTTCTCACTTTATCATTGTGGAGAGTTTTATAAAGGTTCGAGAATTACTCAAGTTATTTTACTGCTTATCTATATTAATCCATCAATCGTAAGTGGGTTAATTATTTTAAGATATATATCTCGACAAAGATACGACTCCCTTAAAATGATTTATCCGATGGTGACTAGTAGTGGAATCCGATATATGCCTGTTGTCCTATTTGGGACTTGCCAGCTGCTGGATGTGCCTGCATCCCTCCTAGTGAGTGATGATGTTCTCATTGAGACTCGAATCCAGTACCCACCTTTTTATTTTCCAGTCGATCGATTGAATTCGGGAAATCAAACTTTACTTAGACAAATAATAACCAATGTGTGTCAATTAAGAGGTGGATCTCGTGCCTCAAATAGTCTACTGAATAATACTTTGGCATTTGAAGTAATGGCCCCTGGGTTTGAGTCTCAGTGGGGATGTCATTACTCACTGGGAAATGCAGGTACATCTAATAGTAGCTGACCATTTCCAAATAGGACAACATACGCATCCTGAATTCCACTGGTAGTTAACATCCGCCAGATGACTACAAATTAATTCTCAAACACCACTGTGGGAGTATCCGTCCTAGAAGTGAACATGTCAATAGTGGCTAAACATTTCAGTTCAATCAATCAACCGGAAAATCAGTAATTCTCTTCAACAAAGATTAGATTTCATTTTAAAAAATGTGAGTTATTTCAGTTGAACAGTTTCCATTTTCAATTCCACTCAAACTGACAGAAAACTTTAGAGTTTTAAAACTGTAAAATTCCTTGTTAACCAAGATTTAATTAAATTAATAAAAATGTTCACTTCCTCAACTTTTTATTAATTATAGTAAAACTTATCTAAATGATCTAGGCAGCATACAGTATCCAATTATGTGAATACTTAGAAATTATTGAGTCCCAAATCCAGTTCAGTTATAATCTCATGCAAATAAATAAATATCTGCATTTATGTTTATAAATTATATTTAATTAATTTAACAGAAGTCTAAAGCATTGACCCAATGTATCACCAACTTTAAATGTTGGTTTATTGATATTCAGTTGATTTCAAATTTCATCATGAAGTGATTTCATTTAGAGGAATATTGAAAACCAACAGGGAGTACTGGGAAGCTGTTTCGTCCTAGATTATTATTATTGTTTCCTTTAATTCATAGAGGAACATAGGGCTTCAGTCGTGCATCTCCATTGCGTTCAGTTCTCTGCTAGAGTCTTCACCTCGCTCCAAGTCTGCCCACACGTTTTCATCTCCTCTTCACATGACCTCCTCCAGGTCACCCTTGCAAGGACGACCAACTCGCCGCTTCCATTTCGGGTTCCACTCGAGCGATGGCTTGTCCAGTGATGTCACTCACTTGATGGTTTCCTCAGAGTATGGCCAATCCATCTCCATTTCTTCTGCCTGTTTGTTTCACAATCGGTTCCTGGTTGGTTCGCTCACTGCCAGAGATCTCTGTTGCTGATCTTTTCTGGCCATCTGATCTTGAGTGGTATTGAGCGAAGACAACTGTTAATGAAGGTCTGTAGTTTGTTTAAGGTGCTCTTTATGACGCGCCAAGTCTCTGATCCGTATAGTAGCACTGACTTCACATTGGAGTTGAAAATCCGGATCTTATTTTTCATGCTGAGTGCTGAGTGTTGTTGACCTCCACACAGACTTGAGAGTAGTGAAAGCTTGTCTTGCTTTCCCTAGATTAGGATCAATGAATTTCATCGGAGTGGATCAGTGATTAACAGGTTAACTGTTTGCCTCCTAACCTGAAGGTCTTAGGTTCAATCCCCATGGCGTCATAGGCGTATGCTGGCAAAGAGTTCCAAACAACGATGAAACACCTTTCCAGTTGCACTTGGTTTTCAGTAGTTCTCTAATTGAATTCAATTCATGGCCAAGCGGAGAGCCAGTCATATTCTTGCAAACCAACTATTGAAAATTAATCTAATGCTCACTAGTGACTGACTCCAACATGAGGTTGCCTGAATTTCTAGTGAGAAGTCGTGACCAGTGGTATCCACCAAGTCGAGTATGAGGGCACCGATGGCTGGCACTTGTGCTACATATCATCAGTTGTCTGGAGATAGAATCCATGGACTACTGGAATCCGTCTCAGTGACTGAACTATCGTAACCTTAGGGTCCACGATTCGATTCCTAGTGGTGGCGTACTACTGAAGAGTCGGAAACTAAGATGAAACAGCTGTTTCTCAT